CGCCCCGCCTCGTCCGTGGTGGAGGCCCTGCCCTAGGCTGGGGCTGCTGTGGGACGTTGGGGGCAGCAGCTCTCAGACCGAGCCTCGTGGGGCTAGGAGGTCAGATGGCTGTGTGGAGGGGGAGCTGGGGCGATGGACTGTGACGTGGGGAGACCTGAGCCCCCCTGATCAGATTGTGAGCAGGGTAGCCTGGCATGGCAGAGGACGGGGACAGGACAGGGTCAAGTGGAGGTTTTGCGGCTGTGGTAACGTGACTTTGTCACTCAATCCCTGGGCAGCCTTCGAAGGTCCTTGGGTTGGATGTGACCCTGTTCCCATTGTGAGGAGAGAGGGGCTGAGGGAGGAGGTAGGCGGCCGGCACAGGGCAGTGGGGTGCCCGGGCAGGCATGGGGGGGCTTGCTGTGGAGGCAGATTCCCCCTGTGGGGTGTGTGAGGGGTAGAGGGGCCACCCACCCTGGCCTCTGCAGGGGCTTGGAGAAGGGGAGTCCAGGGAAGAGCTGGGGTGGCTAGAGCACCCCATCCAGGGGGAAGTGGGCCCTAAAGGTCACACTCCACAGTGGGCACCCCCAGGCTCAGCCCTCCCCGCTGCCACCTTCTCTGCCCTGCAGCTTTCGCAGGGCCCCCGGACCCGCTTCACGGGAACAGCTTGTACCAGAAGGTGCGGGCAGCCGCCCAGGTGAGCCAGGACGGCGACTCTGCGGGGTGGGCTCCCTCTGCCAGCCCCGGAGTGGATCGGCCATTCCTATGGGAACAGAACTAGGGACCCTGCCCACTCTTCGGGGCCTGGCGGAGCCCTGTGTGCGGCCAGGGGGGCTGAGGATGAGGTGCGGCTGCACCCTGAGCACCCCTGCTTCCTCCTGCAGGACTTGGGGAGCACGTTGTTCTGCGACACGGCACTGCGGCAGCCCCCCTCCCCCCGCCCCCAGGGCCTGTCCGCAGCAGGTATGCTCGTCTGCCCAGGTCGGGCTGGCGTGGGTGCCGAGGGGCAGGCTGGGGCGGCTTGTGCTGACAAGTGCCCCCTGCAGGCACGGGCTCCCAGTCCAGGCCTCATGGCGTCCTTCAGGGTTTCGGCTACAGCCAGGAGCAAGGCCGCACAGGTGAGGGGCTGTGGGCCTGGGCAGGGCTCCGCCTTCCCGTTAAGCGCTGGGTGCCCGTTGCTCGCCACGCCTGAGGTGAGGGCAGGGAAGGCAGAGCCCAGCCCGCTCTGTGGGCAGGTGAGGGACAGGGCAGCTCGGGGCCCCGGGCTTGCCGGGTTCAGCCCCACTCAGACAGTGTGGCTCACAGCGGGCATGCGCGCAAGTTGAAGCCCGGGTCGGCGCAGGCGGCCACTTGGCATGGACCAAGCCCGTCTGTTGCGGTGCAGTGGCCGCCGCAGGGCGGGAGCCCCACCACAAGCCCCCACTGGCTGTGGCAGATCGCTTGGGGCATGGCTCTGGGGCCTCCTGCTCACCCTGAAACCAGGAAAGGGTGCTTTCTGGAGAGAGCACACCCAGGAACGGGGGGCCTTGGCTCGATCCCAGTTTAGCGAGGGCCTGGGACCAGGGCTGTCATTCTGGGCAGGGGTCCAGGCCGCCCAGCCCGTCCCAACCTCCCCAGTCCCCTCCCCTCCGGTGCAGGCTCTGCTGGCGGGGTCTTCCTCTCCACCATCCAGAAGGCCGCAGAGGCGGTGGCCAGCGCCGTGCGCCCTGGGCCTGAGGGTCCTGGTACCCAGAGGCTGTTGACATGGAGTGACACCTACCAGCCTGCTGTGCCGCCGTCTACCAGCCCCTGCCACCCCACCTCTGGGGACCTGCCATCCGGGGCCATCCTGGGTGCCCGAGGTATTGCTGACGGGCAGATGTTCTCCTGTCAGGGTCTGGGCCTTCCTGCCCCCCATACCAGGGGCGCTGTGGGCACAGGTGGCGATGGTGGGCTTCTTTGCAGCAGGAGCTGCAGAGGGAGACGGGAAGGCAGAATGCTTTGGGCCTGCCTGGGGTCTCTGGCGCCGGAGCTGAGGGGCACCCCTCCTGGCTCAGGACGCAAGGTCCCAGGAGGTGGGCTGCTCTGAGCCCTGAGGGTCTCACCCGCCACCCCTGTCCTTCCAGTGGTGAGACACCGGCCAGGGCAGGCAGGGGGTGGCTGGGACGAACCGGACAGCAGCCCCAGCTCGCAGGATTCCTCCCAGAACGGTGACACGGGCAGGGGCTCGGGCAGTGACAGCCTCTCGGGGGCTAGCCGGGAGCTGGGCGATATGGCAGAGAGGTGAGCAGGGCAGCGGGAGTAGCCGGGCCCTGCCTCCTACCTCGGCCTAGGCTGGGAGAGGCCACCTGCCCCCTGTGCCCACTGCAGGGCCGAGGCCCTGGCCCTGAGCGACTGCCAGCAGGAGCTGAACCTGGTGCGGAGCGTGACACGGGGGCAGCGTGCCTTCCTGAGCCGGGAGGAGGTGCAGCACTTCCTCAAAGAGTGAGCCCTATCCCCGTGCCCACTGCAGGGCTCCTCCCGGTCCTGGGTGGTCTTGGGTCTGGAGGAAGGGATGGCCATGCCACTCCACCTTGCACCCTCCGCAGGTGTGGGCTGCTCAACTGCGAGGCCGTGCTGGAGCTGCTGACCCGCCACCTGGGCGGGGCTGGCGAGTGCGCGCAGATGGTGAGGCCGGGTGAGCGTGGTCTGTGCCCTGCGCACGTGTGGATTGGGTGTGCGTTTGTGTGTGTGAGGGTCCCAGGGCTCAGGTCGGGGGAGGGTTAGGAACAGTTCTTGTGGGACCCTCTGTAAGCGAGGGGGGAAGGAGGCCACGGCCTCTCTGGGCCTCGCTGCTCAGTGAGTACATGCCAGCCTCGCTCTCCTGCCCTCCCGCAGAGAGCCCTGTGTGCCCTGGCCGCCCTGGGGGGCGCCGACCTGCTGCCCCAAGAGCACGTCCTGCTGTTCTCCCGGCCGCGGCTGCAGGAGCTCAGCAGAGGCAGCCCAGGGCCTGTGACCCACAAGGCCACCAAGGTGCGCACCGGGGTGACAGGGGAGGCTGGGCGGCCACACCCTGGCTGGCGGGCCCTGGCCAGCCCTCACACAGCCCTTGCCCAGGTACCCTCTCGAGTCCCTGACCCTGTCCTGGAGCATCCGGGAGGCAGGGTCCCCACTTGCTCTTCGTCGTCCCTCTGCCTCGTCCCAGTTCTGGGGCCACCCCAAACTCGCTCCCCTTTAGTGCCCGGCGACCTCTGCCTGCCAGGCGGCTCCTCTCACCAGCCTCCTGCAGGGAGTCCCAACCACTCGTGTTGCCTGCTCATGACACAGGCTCGGGTCCCTTGCTGGGCTCCTGGAAGGCAGACCCCCTAATTTGGAATTCCTCCGGAGGCTGCAGGAATCTCCTGGCTGCTCTCCCAGCCAGCCTTTCGCCGGAATGCAGGGTGTCTGTCACCTGTCCCCTAAACTGCCCTGTCGTCCATGTCTCCCTACTTCCTCCCTGCAGTCAGAGTAGCAGTGGCCGGGGGTGGGGGGGTGTGCGCACAGGTGCATGCACCTCACAGTGGTGCTCCCGGCCCGCCGGCGGGGAGGCCCACGTGTGCAGCTGTGGGGAGCAGGCAGCTCTGTCGAGGGGTGTGGCCGCGGGGACCATGTGACTGACCGCGAGTAAAGGCATCAGACTCATGGTTGTGCACACCACATCATACGTACCCCGTGAGACACCAAGGCCACCCCACGTGTCCCCACGTGTCCAGTCGTGTCAGCAGCAGCTCGGTGACTGTGGGCAGGGCCGCACCTTCCTGGCAGACAGCACCCTGCTGAGCTGGCCCTGACCTCCAGGCAGTGGGTGGCCCAGGAGCCCTCCCCAACTGCTCTTCCTTCATCTTCCAGATCCTGAGACACTTCGAAGCCTCCTGTGGACAGCGGCCCCCCATCCAGAGGCCCCCCGTCGCGCCGTCCCCCAACGCCGCCCCCACCAGCCCGTCCGGCC